AATATGATGAGTATTATTCCATTAAAATGATAGATCTCATAATAAAACCCTGTGAGAAAAAAATATGTTTGCTTTTATTATTTTTTTCAAAAAATGTGACACGAACATATTCATTCAAGGTTAGTAACTAGTAATATGACCATAATGTTGTACTGCATGCATGCATTTCGAAGTATCTTTTTTTATGATGATATTTCTAATCTTTCTCTACAAAAATACATACTTCGATCAGTTGATGATGTATAAGTTTGTCTTAGATATCATCCATTTACTCGGAGAAGTATCGAAATTGTTCGACTGCTCTTTATTTTAACAGGTTTTCCAATAACGCACATTCTTAATAATAATGTCGATTGAGTATATCGAGGGTGTGGGTGTGGGTTCTTTTGAAGAGAAGATCCACACTCACACCCTTTTCCTATTTTGCATACAATTACCAAAACATTTTCTATATTTTGTGCAAAATTTTCATCTATTAAACGCGTTCAAATGTCTTATCCATACTTAATTATCTAAAATACAATACTATAATTTATCCTCTATTATTTTTTTTAAATCAAGATAATGTTAATTAGCAAATTTTATATTAACAGAATCATCATATAATGGTAAAAAATAGATATAATCATTTTTCATAAAATTTTCATCAAGTAATTGTTCTAGACATCGAATATTTTTTCTTATATATGTCACAAATGTAGCAAGACGTTCAAGTGGAGTTGGTTGAAAATGACAAAAATTTTTCCATATAGCAGCAGCTAATACAGTATCATCATCAATAAGATTTTCATCTAATACAAATATAAATGTATCCATTTCAGAACATAATTCTTCTGATTGATTACAATGAGTTTTACTTTGATTTGAAAGAATTTGTTGAGCATGTAAATCAAGATCTATTCACATTGTACGTGCTAATTAATGACGAAGAAATACATCAGTTGGATCTATAAAAAATAAATTTTAATAATTGAAAAATGTCAATTTTATTGACATCAATTGAATGAAATAATAAGTCAACAATCAATTTTTGAGAAATTCCTATTAACGAGATTTGTATTTGACTGCATAATGTAGTTATTCTATTTTCTTTTGAGATTTCATAAAAGTTTTATTGTCCATTGTACAATTGTTTGTATGATCAGATAGACCAATACTGAATCAACTTCAACAATCTAGAAAAATCTCACCTAATTGAACATAAAGAACAAGTAAAAACCAAATATGTAGGAGAACAATTCTTTCAAGTGATGCGAAAACATTTGGCATATCAAGTTCATATTGTATTCCATCAAAATCAGCTGATATATCAGTCATATACTATGATGTTGCTGCTGCTTGATACAAAACTTTTTGTCGTTCACGTAATTCTTGTAAACTAAGTGTCATTTTAATTTTTGGCATTAATCTTGGTACATAAATTACTGGAAAATGATTTGATGCTTATACAATACTTAAATTTGTATTAACAGGTAGAGCAGTTGTTTGATTTATTTTAAATGATGATGATGATTGTGTTGATAGAAAACGTTGCAAAATAACATGACTACAATGTATGTAGGCCACTTCATGTGTTAGAGACGTGACTTTGCAAAATCAAAATGTGTATATTTCTGGATAGTGAACTTGTCTAGAGCTAGTTTTTATATGTCACATGTATGCTGAGTTGCTCTAAATACCCTGAAAAAATCAACCCTATAGATCGTTGTTCACAGAAGTTAAAAGTCAAAACAATAGCATTAGAGACGATACGCAAAAAAGGACATCGATTTTCATTGCATGCGTTTCAGTTTCAAAAGTCTGTGCATTGAGATAGAATTTTTAAAAAACTAAACGGTACATTCTGTAGACGACTCTTAAAGTCACAGAATTCCTATCCAAAGTTTTTTCCGCGCACATCTAGACTTTTCAAAAAAAATTCAGCTTATTTTTCGTTCGGGACGTGATGGAGTATAAATATGCAAACGAAAAAAACTCTTGTAACTGAACGAGAAGTTCAAAATAAATTCATACTTGTACAAATTCTCCTTCACAATCTTCAAATGATGATAAGACAGAGATTTTTGTTCTTGGATTTGATGAGATCTCTAGAAAACTGTTTTTTAAGAGAAGACTTTTTCGATTTCTATCTTCCTGAAAATTTCATTACAGATGTAGTTCATACTGCACAGTCTATCCCGAAATTTTTGGATTTTTTTTTCTCATCTTGTTAAAGAGATACTCACTAATTACTTCTTAATTAATTAATTTTAATTAAGCATCAGCTGAAAGATTCAATATTTTTACATATGTCTATGCTAATAGATTTTATTCAAAAAAAAGTATTTATAAAGAATCAAAGTTAAATGAAGGATAGATACATGTCCGTTTTCCGTGAAATGACTAATATAATTTATTTAATTATAAAAAGTAAATATTAACATCTATAAAATTCATAATACATTATTTTTCTAATACTGACACAAAAAAAAATTATTCATTATATATAAACAATTGAAGTGAATAATGCATATTACATATATGAAATTGCAAAAAGAAAAGCATAAAAAGAAAGATACTGCATTTATGAGAAAGACTATTGTTTTCAATTAGTATTATTGATTCTATTTATTGATAAATTGGATGGATTAGTTAGTAATTTTTTAGTATTGTTGAAATATTACATTATCATATTATTTCCATAAAATAAAAATTTTTAAAAATAAATAAAAACAAATTTATTTGAAAATCTTTTATTTTTTTCATCATTTTCATTAATTTGTTTACGTAATAATTGTATATATAACTTTCTTTCATTGCATTTATTTCAAATGTTTTTATTGATAGAATTTTATCTTTTTCTATTAATTGTTTTTCGAAATATTTTTTTTATTTATTCAAATAAAATAAAATTTTTATATTTATCAGTTATATCTAATGGCTTTTGTAATTCATTAATTTGATCTTTTATTCGTGTTGGTTCTTCTTTGTGATGTGATATTGTTCGATTAAGTGATTTTTTAAGATCAATTATTTCAGCATTATATTCTGCTTATGATTTTGTATCATTAAGTATGGTTTATAATTTAAAACTCTTTTTATTTCACATTCTAAAAACAAAAGATTTTTATGGAATAGAATAATAAATAAATGTTTTATTTATCAAAGATCATTTGTTAA